GAGTGAATCATGAGACCGTCAGTGAACTTCATGCTCTTGGCTCGCTGACCTCTCAGCTTACCAGACACAACGACCTCACAACCCTTAGCGCCAGATTCCATGATGAAACGGAGCACACCATAGCAAGCCCTATAGAAGGAATGAGATGACTGAATAAGATCAAACAATGAAAAGATACATCATTTAGGGAAATATTTCAACAAAATTATTTCAGATTTAACACCATGCTTTAGCTACATCTCCCTTTATGTAATGGATAAAAATTACCAAATCTATATCTATATTTGCATATTGTGGAAGAAGGGGGGAGGGGAGAGGCAAAGGTAATATTACTAAAATCATGTACACATTCTTAGTGAATTTTTGGGTCTTACCTCCTAACTGCGAGACCTCCCACAAGCTTGTAACGGAGAGACTCGGCCTGGGCAATGGCGCAAAGACCACGCTGGGCAACCTTCTCAGCATAGAGCTCTACTGAACCTTCAGCAAATCCAAACCTCTTCTGGACAAGAGATGTCAGCTCCCTGATACGACGTCCCTTCTCACCTGGTGAAATAGGAAACAGTTATATCAAATCGTACCAAAAAAACACGTTCTAAATCTAACTAGGTACCCAATTTTTTTTTTTTTTTTTTTTTTTTTTTTTCAGCAAATGTAAATTATATCTTGTGCTGTATAGTCCCTGAAAGTCAAAAATTTGATACCAAAAACTTGTATGAAGATCACATCCTATCTAATTATATATGTTATAGCTATGACAACTAAGTATTCCCCAAAACCCCCATACTGAAAACTATTCTTTGGAGTAAAGTTAATCTGGAAAAGTTACGCAAGTGATATTTGGGGAGGAGCACATTTATGAAATGTACTTCAGAGTCCTTAGTACTATCAGTGAAATCTGAACCAAAAACTTTTTAGGTGCCTTTTGGGCTATACTGGGAAACAAATTTTGTTTACATACATAGCTCTAAAAGTGCCAAGTTACTGAGAAACCAATAAGTGATCCTACATAACCTTACTCGATTTCCCCTTGGAATGTTTTTTTATCTGCTTTTTAAATGCTATTACTAAATATCTTGTTAGGAATGACTAAGATTATCATAATGTTATTACCAATACTAATAGCAAAGAAAACTTAGAAATTAAGGAAAAGGATAAACAGGCCAGATAGGTAGTAGTAGTAGTAGTACTAGTACTAGTAATGAATTCCTCTAAGCATGTGTTGAACTCTGTAAACAAGAAAATCTGTGGTCATGGCATACATTTTGCCTACCCTATTATTATAAGGTAGTAAAAGGTAACAGAACCATCTTTCAAAGACCAAGTCCCTAACCAACAAACATGAACACTATACTAAAGCATAAACTACAACAAATATTACCAAATTAAAAAAAATAAACCAAGGACTCTGCCCCCAAACCTCTAATGATTGCTCTATTTCTCTAGCCAGTGTATACTTTAACCTTGGAAACATTGTGAACAACTTTGAAGTTTGGTTTTCATACAATATTCAAAGTTAATTATGGGCATTATATGCTAGTGTACTTGTTTTTTTTAACTTAGTGCTGTAATTACCCCACACAATGAGAAAACCTTTAAAATAAAACATTCACTGATCTAAACTTTGATACGTTTAACATCATTTTGATATACAAATAATTGTATACAATACAAATGTAAACAAACAATTTGTTTTCATTTTTAACAAGGTAAATTATGAAAGGAACAAGGAAAAAGTGAAGGCAAGCTCTCAATTGCTGACCAAAGAATCATTATTGGGGCATCCAGTAAAAAGGACAATAAAACTACCCTCTATACTGTAACAAGATCTTACAAATTAACATGAACACAATCCAAACCCCATCTACAAGGTGGTAGTGCCCAAGAATACAAGGTTAAAATATACACTGGCTAGGGAAATATGGCAACTGCTAAGAGTCTGGGAGTAAAGCCCCTGCATTAGTTTAACCCATTAACGCCGGTATATTTTGAAGCCAAAAGTAAAAGATTCCGGGCGGCTACAAAATCGGCGGGTGGAGCTTCCCCAGAAACTGTCCACCCGCCAGCTGTGGCTCGCTGCTGCGCCAGAGCGTGAGCCCCTATACAACGTCACACTGGCAAGAAGCCTGGCAATGTTTCCTTTTTCGGGGGTCTCATATGGGACACCCGTCGTGAATGGGTTAAGTTGAGGATTTAGTCTGACAGAAGGGGTCTTGTTGCAATATTATTCCTTATTTCTTGAACTTGTCCAAGGTAATGCCTAGCATCTACTCAACTGATATTGATATGAACTAACTGGCAAGGCAATTTGACTAATTGATTATTGACAATCACTGAGAGAGAGAGAGAGAGAGAGAGAGAGAGAGAGAGAGAGAGAGAGAGAGAGAGAGAGAGAGAGAGAGAGAGAGAGAAAGAAAGAAAAAAAAAAAAAAAAAAAAAAAAAGATGCCAAGTTACATTCCCTATCACTCAACAGTTATTCACTTCCTTACAGCTGACTGTGGTCACTCAAATATAATTAAAAGCCATATTTCTGCCTAAATTACTAGAAAATTGCACTGCTTCAGCCAAACATGTATATCTAGTATTTCTAATTTTTCACATATGTGACTGACAGCCAATGGATAACAATATACAATGGTTATTACTGTTCATAGTAGGGAAAAACTGGTAACTTGTTGAAGGAGGTATAGCAGTAAATTATCCCTACACCTTAATTTCATTTTCCCAAAAATACATCCTTACAAAACACATTTTACAGCAAATATTAAAATATTCATTATTCAAAGTCAACTTCATGTAATGCTGCAATTGTTGCAAGCTTGTTGTATATATAGAACTTGATTCTACACAAACAACACCTCCCTTTACTTACCGAGGACATTCTGGGTTCTTGTGGCCAAGATGATAATCTCTGTACGGGCAGGTGTGTGGCGCACCTGGACACCCGAGTAGCCATCCTCAGCCAACTCATTGGTGAGGAATCTGTTCAGCTCGGCTCTGAACGCACCGTCCTTGACGAACTGTTGAAGAAAACTCATATTTAGAAAAGAAAATCATGACAATTTACCTTACCATGGAATACAAGTATCAATGATTGCAGAAACATTGAAATGGATGGTAATACTTATGACACGACAACAGGTAATGATAAAAGAGTTATCGTGACACCAATTATAATTTCTCAGTATTCTATTGCTGCATATATTCTTCCCAAAATCTCATGAAACCGGTTAGGATTTGCAGACTCATCCCTTGTTCAGTCTGGTGGTACTAAAGGTGTAATTTTGTGTGATCACAGCCTCCATTGGTTCCAATATGGACACTAAGCTAAGGTATATTTGAGAGTATTCTTGCAGAGGACAAAGATGCAGTCATTGACAAGAAATTTCCTGCAGAGGCAAATAGTAACACTACAATTAAAGAAAAATGATTGCAGAAATCCCTACTCAAAGCCTGAGTCCACTTTGTGCTCCTGAGTTTCTGCTCTATCTTGCTGTGCATATCCAAGTGAAGACAAGGTTTCCCAAGGGGGTGTTATGGGGGCAGAGCCCCCTATCAACCCCTGCTCAGGATGTTCCTGAAGGGCACACCCAGCCATGGCAACTTAGGTTGTTTACTTGGTGACATAGTCGATGGTGAGTGCATCCCTATTCATTTTCTAGCAATGAACAATGCACAATATTCTATCAAAGCTTGATCTGGCTTCACATACGTTAGTATTCAAAAGGTCTAATAATTCAATTAAGGTCTTTTGCTTTTGGTCATTTTTAGTGCGCTGACCGGTATAGCATCTGCAATAAGCTACACACTGAATACTAGCAGACATGTGGATGTTTCATTATTTAAAGATAACTTTTCATTTTTAATTTGAAACAAGCGAAAAATACATGGAGGTTAATCAAATTTGAAAAAAAAAACAGTTGCTCCACTAAACACATGTTTAAGTTTGCATACTAAGGTTTCACAACTCTTCCAATAGTATGCATGCTTGCAGTCCACATGCTCCACCAAATCATATTCATGGGGAAAGCGATGAAATAATTAATAATTACTTTAAAAATTAGTCCTCTGGTTAGCTAAGAGAATGCATTGCTAATCGTGGTTTTCAATCATAATTACAAGCCACGAAATCAACTGGCCAAGCTAAGAAAATCTCACGTAAATTACTGTAAATAAAAGCAAATTACTGCAAAAGAAATCTAAACCGAAAACAAGACCAACACTGAGTCGAGAAAAACAAGGCGGCGTGACACACAATGCTTATTAATACTAAATTTACTTCCTCCAGGACTTGGTTCCTTCATGTGAGAACCCATAAAATTGATCAAATAGCAAAAAAAATCGATAATGAAGCGATATACTTCCGAAATACATGATTACACAAATCCACGATATCGCCACCACACAACACGCCGAACGCATGTTTTCCCTGAACATCATTTCTCTTGTCATTTTCTCGTCAAACCACAGAAATTCAATTCCTAAAAATTACACACGAAATACCACCAATACCAAACAATCTTCCTTTCACATTTTGAAAACATATAAGCACAAGAAACAGCCCAAATCGACTCAAAATAGGCACCTTCTTCTTCTTGTTGATCGCGGTCGCCATCTTGACGGAAAGAGCGAGTGCGGGAGACTGAGGGCTAAGGCTGCCTTCTGGTAAATAAGTCACCATATCTCTTTCTTTATTTTTCCTTCTCAATTGGGATTATTAATACTCACAGTTTTTTTCGCACTTTTATATTATATTTTTTAAAGATAGTTACGTCCTAGAGATGTCACCGGTTTGATTTTTGACAATGTAAAAATAAGGGATTTCATTATGTTGGTCTCTTAAACGTAATGTATTATTTCCTGTTTCATTTAGAAATATATTCAATAATTCATAGTATTAATAGAACCTACGAATGCAGATAATATAAATCCTAGAAGGTAAATTACAAGTGCGAACACGGAAAATATCTCACCAAACATATTTCAATGACTACAACATAAAACTTTTACTGCCCTGATCTAAAGCCATTAAAATTACTGAAATTGTACATATAATTTAACAAGACTATATTCATCGTAAAAGATCATTATTGTTCCTAAATTGCGCATCTCTCCCATCACTTGTTTCAAAACCACAACAAGAATCACGCAGGGAATTAACAAACTTCAATTTTTCTTCCATAATGGAGTCTTTAGGAGCAGGAAGAATGTCTTCGTCGCAACGAGAAGATCTTATGGACCAAGTTAAACAACAAATAGTTATTGCCAACACACAAGAACTACTGACGGTGAGGAAAATAGGCATTTCTTAAGCTCGAAAATCCGGCGTCGTCTGCATTGGGAATGGGAGAAGTTGCATAATTATAAGTTTAGTTGAAATAGGGATTATGGAATGTTTATAAAAAGACTATGATGATGTAGAATTTGATGTATTGTTCCAGAGGTTTTCTTATTTTTTTCTTCTTGCGTGGTTTAGTTTTAAAACGGTAGCCTGAGAACATGCCAGTCCCGTTCAGCATTGAATTGAACCCTAACAGATGATCTATAACAATTGTTGTATTATGGTATGCATATTGTACAGATGAAAGGGAATGAAGATAATATTCCTGATTATTTCCATATTTTATTGCTAATTCGCCATCTATTTTCCGTTCTAGGGTTTTTATTTTTTATGTTCAATGCACTTTGGTTTATAAGGTGAAAGGCTTCAAAAGTAATATCAGCTGACACTTTTTCATCTAATTTTCGACAGAGTTTTGAGTATTTTTCCTAATTTTAGGACAAGCTCTGTACCCCCTCTATAATAGCAGGTCATGCCAATTTATAGAAGATAGACATTAAGAACTCTGACTGTGTGAGCATGTTGTGGACTTAGCCTATGAGCAGATATTTTAGTTATTTTATGGTAAATATGAGGCCGCAGCTGCTTATGACTCTATTTCATATGCTCTATAAGATGGCGGTGTCTATTTCCCTCTATCTGTGTGTGCCACTCTCAGTAACAGTAACCATTGTTATGAACAAACCAGTATTGAAGCATATTTTTTGTAAAATACACACAAAGTGCCACTTTGAAAATATTTGTTGTTGTGACCAAATTGTTTAGATGAACTTTAGCCCAATAACGACAGTTGTCCTATATATGAGACACCCGAAAAAATAAACATTGTTGGGCGTCCCGCTCTGATGCAGCAGCTGACTGGGCAGAGTCCGGGCCAGCCCGTACGCCGATTTTGCAGCCTCCAGAATCTTTTATTTTCGGCTTTGAAATATACCAGCGGTAATGGGTTAACTTCATATATAGAAGCTATAGAAATACAAATAGCTATTTAAAATTTAACTTTGAATATTTAATTTTCCTTCAATTTGATTGTTGTTTATGGAGCATGATCTCATAGGGATAGTGAAAATATGAATGTCATATTTGAAGAGGAACATAGTTAATTTTTTTTCTTTTTCTTTTTTTCTCTTTCTTTTTCTATTTCTTTTTCTTTTTTTCTTTTTTTCTTTTTTTCCTTTTCTTTTTCCTTTTCCTTTTCCTTTTTCTTTTAGTTTAGTACTTCAAGTTATTGACAAAATCTCATGAGGATCTTCATTTGTCTGAGTGATGTATTGTATCCTTGATTTAAAGAATTCCTTTTGGCATAAGGATCCCTTCAGTAGTTTTATTTTTATGTACCCGCTTACCATAATGTGTATTTTTTTTTAAATAGTACCTTTTCAATTATAACCCTTTGCTATTTGGGATAGTATGTATACAAGTGCCAAGTATTTTAATGTGATTTTAGTTAATGAATTCTATTTTCACATAATGGCTCCACAAGAGCTAAGTCACCAATGAATAGTTTTATGTCTCACTTAATTTGTCTTTTCCTTGACCCCCAGGAAGATTTTTTTTTTATGACATTATAATCATAATGTCAGTTTTAATGATCATAGTATCAGTGTGAAATAGCATTAGGAAAAAAAAATCCCTTCCCTCAAAAAAAAAAAAAAAGGGAGTGGGATAATTTGGGAAGGTCATATTGGGCCTACTAATTGCCTCCATAGTGGCTGAGCACTTGTGAAGCCATCTATGTGTAAGTAAGATTCACAAAGCAAAACTACAGTGGTTGTTTCAATTGGTTAATTTTGTTAGAATATACGGCTTGCCAAAGTAATAGTAACTTTCATTATATTGACTATTCAATGAATGTTTAGAAGCATATTTAGAGTATTACTCTCTTTTCTTTTCTTTCAGAAAATGGGAGAGAAGTGCTTCACCAAATGTATTCCAAAACCTGGATCCTCCTTAGATAGCTCAGAACAGGTAAAATTAATTAATTTTTAATATTCTGTAATAATGATGAAATTTGAATTTTTCTTTAATAAAATTCAGATGTATGTATTATGGTATATATCCAAAATTTAAATACTTCCTACTGAAACTTTGTAACAATCAGCACTCCATGAAATACAGTACGAGTATTTTTTAAAATTACATGAAGAATATTACATGTTGGATACTTACAGATTAGTTTGCCTCTTTGGAATATCCAGGAATTTCAAGTTACAGATACTAATCAGTAATTTGTACGTTCAATATAATTTACATCTAAGTTGTTTATATAAAAGGCAAAGATGAAAACAAAAAATCATGCGTAGCTTGACACTGTTGGTCCACAGCCCATTACCATCTATGTGCCATACCTGGCCATGACCGGTCAAATTGCCCTGCTCAATCACATACATGTGCCAGTTGTGGTGACTCCCATAACACATTTTAGAGGAGCTGCCCTGCCTATAAGTTTGAATGTGAGGAAGCATGACAATGAGGTTTTTCTCCCTCTACCTAAACCAAAACAGTCCTTCACTCTGCAACCCCCCCCCCCATCTCCACAAGATGTTTCTGAGTCTCCCGCAGTATCTCTTCCCTCTGACCTGAACCATCCTACCTCTACTTTCCCTATCCCCTAGTCAAATCCCTTTTCTATTCTAAATCCAGATGCTCCACTCTCTACCACTTCTCCAATACTTGCCCTTTCTCCCCCTCACTTTACATATTGCACCAGACAACCTAAAAGTTCTACTCCATCTTCACCTACCACACACTCTCCTGAATCCTCCTTTTCCTCCGCTCCTCAAACATCTATTCCTTCTTCTCCTCCTCTCAAGAGATCCTTTGTTTCTCAAACCTACCTACCCTAATCCCATCCAAAAACACTTGAAGACACCCAAAAATTCTTAGACAGGACCCAAGATAATGTTCTGCTCCCACATCCACCCTCCAATACCTCTGTTCCTAGTTCCTTTGTATTCAAAGTATTTACCGATATCCATCCTCCTCCCCCGCAAGTTTCCCCTACCCCTCTTCCTCCTACTCTTTCCAAACAAACCCCATCCTCTCCTTCTCCATGTACACCAATCCCTTTTCATTCTCCATTATCCTTACCTCTCTCACCTGGATATGCACATAAATCCTTTTTGTTGCGAGTGTTCTCCTCTGGATCCCCCCCCCCCCCAGATTCACCCTATTCCATCCAATTTCCCCATACCCTTAACCCTTTCCTTTATTAATGTCGTGATTTACATAATTTGCACCCCTTCTTTACCCTTTTCCCTATCATACTATCCTGTAACACTATAACCTTTGACAGCTAACACTCCCTATACTAATCATTAATTCATTTACCCTTTTCACCACAATTCTTTACCATAGTGCTCTATGACCTTAGATGTTTAGCACATTTATTTGTTTCAACCATTAACCACTTTGGTCAGTTGCAATATATTAAGAATTTCTATTTTTTACAATCATGCTGATTTGTCAAATAGTTACCAAACATGAGATTACCAAAATTGAAAAAGTAACCATTTGTAAGTGAATGTAAATGTTGAAAATGTACAAAAAAAAAAAAAAAATAGAAGTAAAGCACAACTTAGTGAAATACATGTGTTGAGTTATATGGTAAAAACAGGTATTGAAATTTATTTATATAGAAGACAAAGAGAGAAACAAAACATTGTTGAGGAGCTGAGCTGTGCTACACAACCCAACTCCTTCCCCTTTCCCAAAGACAGGATGGTGCATGTAGTAGTCTCTGATGGCTCATATAGGGAAAGGGCCTAGTGGGATATTAGGAGGAATAATAATGGGGTATAGAGAGAATTTTCTGTGGTCTAGAGGCTGTACTTGTTCACATATACTATATCTTGCTCTCATCTCACGTGCCAGCTGAAAATTGATGCTGAATCAGAGCAGCAAAGATTCAATTTGAAAAACACCATTCATATCAAGTTTTTTTTTTTTGTTTTTTTCAAATGTTTTAGTCACCAAGATGTCATTTATTAGGCTTACCTCATCTGTTTACACCTGTTCTTGAATTTTTAGGCAGGAAAATTTTGTTTTTTTAATACCCATTTTTCACAATAGTATCAATTTAGGCTGTTTGTTGTTGAAGAGCTGACAGCCTTTTATTTTGTATTGAAGTTAAATATATATTTGATTTAGATTAGATCTCTTATTTTATTTCTTTTTTATTACAGAAATGTTTAGCGATGTGTATGGATCGTTATATGGACTCTTGGAATCTTGTATCAAGAACATACACCACTCGTCTACAGAGAGAGAAGAATTTCCAATAAGGAACAATTTTAGTTTTTGTTTCTGTTTTTATAGATAAAGAGCAACTTTTAACAGTGTTGGCAGAATGTACATTTCACCCTCAGAAGGACATATTGGGAATATAGGAAGACTTGAATCTGTTAACCTTGGGAATAATTAAAGAATGTATGAGAGTCCAGTCCTTCTTTGTAATTTGTTAATTTTGGAAAACTTGCGTGTTCCATGCATTATATCATCTGTTTGATTCTTGAGAAGTTATAACTTCTTTGTTATAAAAAATACATTAGTCATTAAGGTATTTTTTGTATATATATATAAAGCCCCTGCTGCTAGGAAAATATTAACAAAGTTTCAGATATATCTATGATTGATTGTTTATACAATAAATACAAAG